CTACTGACACGTCGTCGCTGGGAGGTATGGGAGGAAACTATGCATGTTAAAGAAAGGCATTGCCTTTCTGAGCCAGGAAAGACTTTCCACAGTGTAACAATCTATAGCGCAGTGTAACAATCTATAGCGCTGAATCAAACTGCTCTGCATTTGCAAGGTTACTGACCAAAGCAAACAATGAAGTAGGAGAGTGGATCATGTTTGTTTAAGAGAGAAAACATTGTACATTCACAGAGAGTTATCTGCAGAGAATGTAGCCTGCAAATGTAAAGATTAAATTTACTAATAGAAAATCAATGAAATTATCTAGTGGCTTCCAAAGCTAAAAATAGACCTTAATATCCTACTACTGAGATCTTTAAAAATCCAAATCATTGGAGTACTGGCTAAAATATAGGGATAATTTCATTAACAAAGTACATCAAATTACAGCACATTTATGCTTAGAGCTAGAGCTGCTTTTTAAAAGGGAGAATCGGGGAGCAGCACTGCGGTGCAGCACATGAAGGAGCTTCCTGTGACTAGTGCGTCACACATGGGCACCGGTTCAGGTCCTGGCTGCTTCATTTTGGATCCAGCTCCCTGCTAAGAGCCTGGGAAAAGCAGTGGAAGATAAGAGTTCTCTCTCTCTCACTGTTTCACATTAATTAATTAATTATTTTAAATGATGGGAGGAGAATGAACAGAAACATAAGTGGCTGTCTTTCCATGTATGTATTTCTCTCTCGCCTACTTTTTCCCAACTACAAATGCTGACAATGAGCCTACTGTGTACCAAACATTGTTTGAACTGAAAGGACAGGTTAAGTTACAGTCCATTTTTTTTTTTTAAATAGCACACTGTGAAGGAGATATTACTCTCAAAGGAGAGCCAGTCATTCTGCACTACTTACTTTCCAGTTTGTTTGCTGTAATTACAAAGTAATACTTTATTTTGGTTTTTTAAAGATTTACTTTTACTGGAAAAGCATATTTACAGAGAAAAGAAGAGACAAAGGGAAAGATCTTCCATTCACTGGTTCACTCCCTAAGTGACTGCAATGGCTAGAGCTGAGCTGATCCAAAGCCAGGAGCCAGGGAGCTTCTTTTGGTTCTCCCACTTTGGTGCTGGGTCCCATTCTCCACTGCTTTACCAGGCCATAAGCAGCGAGCTGGATGGGAAGTGGAGCAGCAAGGGCACAAACTGGTGCCTAAATAGGATCCTGGCAATGCTAAGGGGAGGACTGGCAAACTAAGTCATTGGGTTTGGCCCAGGAAACAATCCTTTGAAGGTACAACATCTCAATCCTCTTTCCTCCCACAAGAAAACTAACCAAGAGCCTTTATAGAAAATATTTTGATTTTGGAGGAAAACTGTGGTACAGCTTTAACAGCTTTCTTTGAAGAAAAACAAATATGATAAATAAAAATACAAAGGATGTACTTTATAGAGAATCATCATAAGACACAGATGGAAGGATCCTAATATTGAAACTCAGGCATCTATAAATATGGTGTGCAAGGGCCAGCCTTGCAGTATAGTATATTAAGCTGCCGTTTGCAAAATGGCCATCTAATATGGGCACAACTTTGTGAGTCCTGGCTGCTTCACTTCCAATCCGACTCTTTGTTAACGTTCCTGGGAAAGCAATAGAAGAAGATGGCCTAAATCCTCAGGCCTCTGAACCCATGTAAGAGACCCAGAAGAAGCTCCTGGCCCCTGGCTTCAGCTTTGCTCAGTCCTGACTTTTGTAGGCATTTGGGGGAGTGAACCAGTGGATGGAAGATCTCTCTTTGGGCCTGGCTCAGTGGCCTAGTAGCTAGAGTCCTTGCCTTGCACGCACCAGGATCCCACATGGGTGCTGGTTCTAAGTCCCAGCAAACCCGCTTCACATTCAGCTCCTTGCTGGTGGCCTGGGAAGGCACTGGCAGACAGCCCAGGGCCTGGGAACCCTGCACCTGCATGGGAGGCCCGGAAGAAGCTTCTGGTTCCTGGCTTTGGATCAGCTTAGCTCCAGCCATTGTGGCCGCTTGGGGAGTGAATCAGTGGACAGAAGATCTTCCTCTCTGTCTCTCTTCCTCTCTGTATATCTGACTTTCAAAAACAATATAAATAAATCTTAAAAAAATTTCTATCACTCCTCCTCGCCCCTCTGTAACACTGCTTTTCAAATAAACACAATTTAGAAAAGCAAAAAAGTCATAAATATGGACTCTAAATAATGAGCTCTATGAGCCACAGTTGAAGTTGTTAGAGCTGTTTATATGTAGTTGGTGTTTGTTTGCCACAGGGAGAACATGTCCCTGTCAGGGCCTGTACAACTCAGGGACACATTTCATACACTCAGCTCAACAAATTCTCTTGTAAGCTGTTCTCATGAAACGCAAACACCAAGAAATGCATGGAACAAAAAGAACATTTCAAATGAACAATGCCTTCAAAATTCACAACCTTGGAATGGCTTCACAGCCCATAACCCCAGAAGACTAAACTGTAGGAGACATAAAAGTAGTGACAAAGTGTGCCACTAAGTGGTTTATCTAAATACTTGCTACCACGCCGAGGAATCTGGGGAGAAGCGGGGGGTGTCCTTACATGGGAGGCAGCTGCCCAGGCTTTTCCGCTGACCTGAAGGAGTGGCTCCTGCCCACAGGGAACCACACAAGATAGGAATGTGCGCTGAGTGACTGTGGCTGACTCAAAGCTACTGCAGTGCACAGCAGACTTCATTTTTCAGGAGGCAAAAATTAAGTCAATCTGGCCACTAGATGGCGATCAGGTTACTCTGCCACTGATAAGACATGCTGTTTGGAGCCAGCAAAAGTGAGAAGGGTACCAAGAAACTCTTTTCTCAGTATTTCCATTAAAGGCATTTTCCAAGCTCCAAAGCCAGGAGCAGATCTACACAGAATAAAGGGTCTACAAATGAGGAATACCTTGAAAAACAGAGCAAGAAGGAAACTATAAAGAGAAGTATTTGTCTGTTATTGTCTTAGAATGATTCCAATTTAGACTTAGTTGTGGCAACTATCCGTAAAGAGTAAATAATGAGATTGTTTATACAAGAGAAATTAATAATGTTACATTGTGATTTATCAACCATGAGCAAGAATTGGAGAAACATGGAAAACTTCATGCTCACCCTTTGTGGCTCATTATATGTATGAATCACAAGTATGAATTTTCAGTAGTAAGTACAACGGATCAAGGAATCTTGGAGACAGGAGAACGCGAGGCAACACCTACTGTAATTTTCCAAAGGAAACTATCATTTGATTCTGAATTCTATTACCAAAAGTCTTTTTCTATTATTGCTAAATTTTGAAATGGAGACACAAAGTTATACTTTTCCTGGACAAGGTCTGGTTGAAGGAAGTTAATACTGCGCCATATAGTATATCTGAATGTAATTTTTGGAATGGTCAGTATAACTGTTCATTTCTAATTTAATAAGCTTATATTCATTGAAAAATGCTGACATTCTAGATCAATCAAAGGGATAATGTGTGACCGTTTAAGAGAGGAATTCATTTGTTGTCAGTTATCTGCAGTTATATGCGTGAATACAAACACGTTGGCATCTATAAACTGATCACTCAGCTAGGAGCTGGGATTTCAAAGATTCACAACATATTCCAAAATGCCCCTGGGAAGAGACGAGCTACCTGGTTAATATACAATTACGGTCAATCCTTGTAGCCATTAAGAACTACTAATAAAATCATGAGTAGAAATCCCTTTTAAAGATCTACTGAGAAAAAAAAAATAGGCCACAAATCTTGGTCATAGGAAATATAAAACTGTTGATTTCAGTGACATATGAGAAACTGAAATAACATACAAGAAATTTAAACAGGGTAGTACTTACTATCAGGGTATAATAAAAGTAGGGGAAAAGAGAATTAACTCAGAGAGAAGAAATTAATACTTAGATTATTAAAAGAAAGATAAACAAGTAACTAGCATTCAAACACTGCATGTCTAGTGATGGCCTGTCTGTTGTTATAACAGATCTATTGAACTAAATGACATGTTTAGTTTAGAACAATACCTTTGCTTCAACTTATTTAAATTAATATATTTATGCCCTACAGTACGATAAGAGGTGGCTTGCCTACGGTAGTTGAGATTTCTAAAATGCTCCCCAAGGCATTTAAGGATCTAAAATAAGTACGTTATTCACTCACTTGTATATTTTTTTATGGAAAAATCTCAAAAACAATCCCTCAAAATAGCAGTCATTAACGCAGTATTGATGGAACGGTCTGTGGACATTTGTCTTGCTAATTGGCTCTCTGCACAGCACCACAGCTGGCAGCAACCTGCCTTTCTTCTCCTGGAGAACTGTGAAATGTAAACATGAGCATTCTGCTCTGAAGAGGAAAACAAACAAACAAGTAAACTGCAAACGAACCTTTTCCATTCCACGCTTTAGTGTGTCTGCAGCTGCAGCCTTCCTTATTCTCTACGATGAGGTGCTGACCAAGTTGTTTCTGGAATTTTGGGTTTTCCTTTCACTTTGCTGGGTGTTCTCCTATTCCCAGCACGGGTCTTGGTCTACTTACTGTGCTGAATTCCGTGGATCTGGATAGATAGCAGCTGGTAGAAACATTGCGGGAGATGCATGTTTTGCTTCCCTTCTCAAGTCTAGAGGTTTGGGACTTACAACAATGCCAGGCACTTTAGATTCTCAATGTTTCTCTTTCCTAGGCAGCAGGCACAGATGCTAACAATGATGGTAGCAAAAAGTCACAACGGCACAGAGCTGCTGTTGGAAATTAGCTGCTGACAGCTGATGGCTTCATTCATTTGCGGTGAAGTTGGGAACCTACATTTAAATACTGATATGGAAAGAAGAGGGGTGGCACACACTTTCTCACTTTCTAGATGGAAAGATTTTTCTATTTCTGACTGTAAAAAGAATTTAAGCTAGTTAGGTTGCTGTTCTGATTGTAGCATTTGTAGCTCAATTTCTGGCTGGGAGCGAACCCCCAAGCAGGAAGGTCAATGTAAGTGGTACCTGTATATGCCTGTCACCTTCTTGTCCAATCATGTTTCTCCATTCCATGAGGGAGCGCTGTAGACGTTCAAGTCCAGTTTCCCAAAGCCTGACGTGCCCTCCCATGTCAACAGTGACAACACCGCTTCTGTCCCACTCAGCCAAGAGGGCATCTGTGTCCGAAATGGTAGACAGCCAGGAGGTATATGGTGAAAGAGACTCTGATCTGGTAAAGGAATCCAAAGCGAGGAAAAAACAAAAATCAAGTGGAATGAGTGACACTTTACAGGTGCAACATTCTTTCCTGCATAAAACTATGGTTACAGGGCCCGGTGCGGTGGCACAGTGGTTAAGGTCCTCGCCTTGCATGCCTGGGATCCCATATGGGCGCCGGTTCTATCCTGTCAGCCCCGCTTCCCTTCCAGCTCCCTGCCAGTGGCCTGGGAAAGCAGTCGAGGATGGCCCAAAGCTTTGGGACCCTGCACCCACTTGGGAGACTCGCAAGAAGAGGCTCCTGGCTTCGGATTGGCATAGCATCGGCCATTGCACTCACTTGGGGAGTGAATCATCAGACGGAAGATCTTCCTCTCTGTCTCTCCTCTCTGTATATCCGCCTTTCCAATAAAAATAAGATAAATCTTTAAAAAAAAAAGTATGGTTACAACCCTGCTCCTCCTATGCATCCCACAACATGAGGAGATGATGAGGACATCTGTCACGAGCAAAAGTGAGACCTTCTGGTATACACAGGGTAGCACAATAAGCAAAATAAAAGAGCAGAAGACCATTTAAAGGCAGATTTAAACAATCATTTTTAACAATTTATTTTATCTATTTCTGATTGGTTCTCAAAATGGTCACAAGGGCCAAGGTGGGGTCAGATCAAAGCCAGGAGCCAGGAGCTTCTTCCAGGTCTGCCATGTGGGTGCAGCGGCCTCAGGGCCTTAAGCCACCATGACCTAGCACTGACTCCAGGACAGATATTTTTTATTACAGTATATAACTTATCAGTAGTCCAGGCAATAAAATTAGTTTCAATTAATTTAGGCTCACTGTTAGCTATAATTTGTAATGCACTGAATATTTCTATCCTTCTCCAAAATCATATGCTGAAACAGTAACTCCCACTGTGCTGGTATTAAGCAGTGGAACCTCTGAGAGGTAATTAGGTTTCAACAGGACACAAGGGTACGGTTCCCATGGCGGATTACAATATTTACTGGAAGAGATCAGAGGCCTCGTGCATTCCTCCACCTTCCCTCATGCTAGAATAAAGCAAGAAGACAGCCTCCGCAACAGAGCTCTCATTAGCAAATGGATTGGCTGGGATCATGATCTTGACTCTCCCAGCCTCTAGACATTGAGGAATACATGCTGGTCATTTAAAGCACTCAGTCTATTCTATTATTCTGTTACAGTAGCTGACTTAGAAATCGAATTCAAAGTACATTAAAAAGATAAGACATGAAGGCTGGCACCTTGGCCTAGTGAGTAAAGTTGCCACCTCCAAGTGCTAGCATCCCATATGGGTGACAGTTCCCTGTCTGTGGCCTGGGAAAGCACTGGAGGATGGCTCATAGCCTTGGGACTCTGCACCCATTATGTGAAAGACCTGGAAGAAGCCTCTGGCTCCAGGCGTTGGACTGGCCCACCTCCATTGATTGTGGCCATTTGGGGAGTGAACCAGTAGATGGAAGATACCTCTTTCTTTCTCAGCCTCTCTCTCTCTTGTTCTTTCCTGATATTTGTCTTTCAAATAAATAAATAAATAAATACATCTTTTTTTTTTTTAAGAGAGAAAGATCCTTTGTCTGCTGGTTCATTCCTCAAATGCTGCCAAGGCCAGGGCTGAAATGATCTGAAGCCAGGAGCCAGGAACTTCTTCTAGTCTCCCATGTGGTGCAGAGTCTCAGGCTTTGGGCCATCCTTGACTGATTTCCCAGGCCACAGCAGGGAGCTGGATGGGAAGTGGAGCAGCTGGGACATGAACTCCAGCTCATATGCAATCCTGGAGCTTACAAGGCAAGGACTTAGTCATTAGGCCATTGTACCGGGCCCATAAATAAATATATCTTAAAAAAAAAAAAGGACACAAACAGATCTATCTGCAAGGAACAAAATTTCATGATCATTTATGGACTATTTATGATGTTGGCTTGTGGCTGTGAGGAAAAAAGAAATCCTATTTCCCACAGCCATGTATAGTCGTATGCTCATTCCTTGAGAGCCTCAACCTAGTGCTACAACTGATGTCTTGTTCATACATTTCAACTACATCCTTATTTGACATTTTGCCTTGCTGACTTAGAAAGTCACATGAATCTATAACATGGAATTTGTATAGTTCTTGAATTATATCTTTCACATACTGTTGACAAGATGAGGAAGAGAACAGTAAGATGAGACCATATATTTCAAAAGTACTTTAGAGGCCTCCTGAAAGGTAAACTTGAACTCATAAAGGGCTTATATCATAGCACTCCCTCATAAAACAGTCTCTTTTTAAAAATATTTAATAGTTAAAGATGGGGAAGTAAAGAGCTATTTAAGAAAAAATTGGAATTTATCCATGTGAAACTATGGTTGAGTTTCTGCCAAGACAACTTAAACTGTATGGTTCTAGGAGCACTGTATCTATTGGTTTCTGTATCTATTGGTTGCCCCTATAAAACTCTCCATCAGGAAAAAAATTCAATTTAATGGGGCAATTTCTTAAATTTTGAAACTACAGCATTTTTAAAAACTTACTGAAGAAATCGCTATTTACACTTATAGGTGCGCCTCAAGTCTAGAATTGCATTTATTTTTTTCTAATGCACATTCCCCCTATACATAACTGCAAAGTTTTACAGAATACAATTACAGTGGAGTCTAGATTTCTATACAGCACTTGTGAGAGCTAAATAGTATGGATCCACAAATGCAGACAGCATTTGTGGTCCAGGCAATAGGTGAGGGGCAATGGCAGTGTATTTATTTGACTCCTGCAGTTACATGTAAGTTTATTATATTTTCTAGTATTTGATGTTAGTCACCAAATGGAAAATTCCTGACATGTAACAGAATGCTAAATTTAAGCAACTGGCAGAAAAACTGAAACCCAGACGGGTTGTTCCCTTGGAATATACATAGAAATATATATGTCAAAAATAGCAACAGTTAATCTCAAGAGAGACTCAGGATGCAGTGAAACAGACTCCACACCAACGGGACCTGAAATGCAGCATACGGAGATGTGCTGTGAGTATAAAGCACACACTGGACTTTGCAGCCTTAAAGGGAAAAGGCAACACAGACTCACTACAACCTTCATTCAGAATGCATGTCAAAATGACAACACTGTGGATACATTGGAGTGAATTATATTGTGAAAATTAATTTCACCTGCTTCCTTTCACCTTTTTAATGTGGCCACTGGGAAATATAAAATTACATATGTGGCTTGTGTTATATTTGCATTGGACAGGGCAGGTCTTAAGAGGTGAATTATGAAGACCTGCTGGCATGTGGCCAGCCACCCACCTGCTCAGGCAGATGTTCTTCCACATCAGGGACAGCATGTGGGCCATACAGAGTTAAAAGAGAACACTGGGCTTAGTGAGGGAGGAGTAAAGAGAAATAGTGGGTGAAACTGTCAACATTTTAGTAGTGTTTAAAAAGCATATTCTCTGTTTCCATTACTTGAACAGTGTATTTTACTGTATGTAGTAAAGACTGAACAAAGAATTTCCTCAAATGACTAAATGCCACATATCCTTAAACTAACACATTAAGATGATTCCAAGAAGTCATACCTCCATATGTGGCACAAATAAATCTATTTCTTTGAATTTTATTTTTTGTACTTTATGAATATGATTAATAGTTCTAAGAAATTAGGCTGTTTTTCTGAGTGATTTCATACCGTCATGCTGAGGGTGGAGGGAAGCACGTAGCAGAGTGATGCTTTGGGTAACTGACAGGTTTCCATGTCCTTGGCCTTTCACTGACCCTGGAAGACTCTCCAGGCTCCTTTGAGATTTCAGGCAAGGCTTTCCTCAATGTGTGGCAAGGGCTCACTCCCATGTGAAGGAGCAGATGGGAAGCGGGCATACGATCTTAGTCTAGATCCCAATAGAAAGGGGAAAAGAGGCTCTGGCCACAATGGGCAAAGAAAGGAGAAAGGAAAAACTCAGCCCAAGTAGACCAAAGCAGACATTAGGTCAAACTCGTGAAAGGCACACAAGACCTGGAAGTACCGGAGAGGGATGTGCCCCAAGAGAGGGGACACCTGTGCTCTCCAGGGTACAGACTGAGAACTATTGTTTCTGCTTTTGTGCCCTAAAGCTAGCTTCCACTGCGGTGAGAATAAAACAGGGCATGGTAACGAGCTCCATCCTACATCCTTGGAAGCCTTTGGCTATTGTTCAATGGTCATGTCTGGAGATGTATAGTAACATATTTAAAAACAGTATTAAATAAATGCTATTTAAATTCCCCTACCATTTTGAACATGTTTATTTTAGAACACTATGATATAAAGCTAATAACTGTAAAATTTCTGCAACACTAAGAATGCTATTTCAGGACACAGAAAAAACTTATCATTAGAACAGATCAAACAAAAGAAAATGCAGGGTTGAAGGTTGCTAGACCAATACCTATAACATTTTCCCAAAATGAATATAAAAATGTCAGTGAAGCATGCAGAAGAATGGCAAGATATAAACCAACTGTAATTGGGGGGGTGGGGAGGGAAGAGCCTGCTATTTAAGGAAGCAAAAAGCACACATCTGTTCAGAGTGCTTATTAAGAATTCATTAATTTTTTATGATACATGCAACCAAGAACAAAGGTGAAATGGATTACCTGGGAATGGGGATATATCGAAGCTTCTTTGATTGAAGATCAGTGACTTCTATATAACCAGCTGTTTGTGGAGGGGTAACATCTGCACATAAGTCATGAAATGATCCACGTATTAACTTGCTGCATGATACCAAAATGCGACCACAAGAATGCCTGAATGCTGCTCAGAGTGTAATAAAGTTATCCGTAGCTTAGGCTTGAACTGAGACCCACTTCACGAGGTATAGGTTAAGCCTAGTCCTCATGACCAGACTCTGTCAAAGAGAGGATGACCACCTGTGATCATCTCCTGTCAGAAAATAACCCAGCTTCTCTCCATCGTCTTTTTCACTACATTTTCATGGCACAGGAATTCTCCCCTACTACCCCTGCCCAACTGTTTTCCCCCGTATTATTACAATAGCATAGTCCTTCAGCAATAGCCACAAATCCAACACTCTGTAATTTAAGCGTATCATGGCATTACAAGACAATGGTATAAGGCCCAGTATCCTATTGTTGAGATATATTTCAGATTTTTCTTCTCTCCATTATCTTTGATAGCTTCCCAAGACAGGCCAATATTTCCAGACCTGTAATCTACTTGAAAACACTTCATCATGTGACTTCCATTTTTCTTCCCTAGGTTGTCATAATCGTGCTTAGCAATAGGTAGTGTCATGTGGCAGAGTCAGCACTCACTATGTAATTGACAATAAAGACCTGGTAGGGAGACAAGGGTATCGTATTTCCTAGGAGGAATCTATTAGTGAAGGTGCTTGTCTCTCTGAAGCCTGTTTTCTGCATTTGTAAAATGGGAATACCAGCGGCACTTGAACATCTAACCATTACTTTGAGGAGTGGGTGGAATTACAAATCCAAAGTATTTAACCAGTAGTCACTCAGCTTATTGTATCTATCATTCATAGGGCCCTGCAGGATGAGAGAAGTAAGGTGAAGCTAGGGCAGTGCTGTGAGGACTCAAGGATATGGAAAGTTGGGGGAAGGAGGTTAAGAGAGGAAGGAACCAGAGCATCCGGCTTCATTCTGGAATTGATTTCCTAGCAAATTTCACTGACTTCCAGCGCATAGCACTGAATACAACTGTGGCCCTCTAAGTCAGCAGCTGCCATTGCTGCCTGTGAGCCGCTCTCCTTGGTCTCCACAGGGTGCTCCCAGCACTGACAATGGGTCCTGTTGGCAGGACAGGAAGCCGAGGCGACTGAGCTGCCATGGCCTTCAAACTCAGGTCTTCTGCAACTTTACGCAACTCCTATCTGAGTCGCCTCTTGGGAAAATCTGACAAAATTTTGTACCTGAAGTGTCTTTGTGAAAAGAGATTTTCCCTACATGTAGCTTGTATGCCACTGTACCTTCTTTTATTCCAGCTTTTGCTTAGAATGAGATCTGAAGGATATCCACACTTAACTTATTAAATGCATTTACAAAGAAATAAGAAACATGGGCATTTTAAATTTTGTGCTTGTAGTAGGAATTTCTTTTTTCTATTTAGCATCTTTTTTCTATTTAGCAAATGTGTTCAAACTTATCTGGCACCAGACATCTACAAAGTGCTGGAGACAGAGAAAGCAAAGAGAGGCGGACCTTGTCTTTGAGAAGTCCACGGCAGAAAGCGGAAAGTTTCTTTATTCTTTCTTTAAAGCATTTTTAAATCACCATGAACCTTTGGGAGTCACAGTCCTGGGGCCAGGTATGAGCTGCTGGGTTAGGCAAGGAGTGAGTACCAGGGCACCAAGGACCCAGGACAAAGGGAGGGTAATGTCCAGAAACAGGACGGTCTTAGGAATAATGCAATCTGATCAGGCAAATGGATTGGCTGTCTCCCCAGACGGCTATTTGTATAAACTGAATGTCACGGACCATCTGCATTGAAAATGCTGCTTGGGATATAAGCTCAGTCTTGGAAAAAGTTTTACATCACGTATTCTTCTCTTCTTCTTCATATTATTATTTGACAACTCCTGTTGCTGGGAACCTAGGTGCAGTAAGTTGACTTATTTATGGACTAGGATTCTTTGCCAAAAGTGACCCGTTATTTAAGAAGCTGGGATGACTAAAGCTGCCTAGCTAACCAACTTACTCATATTTTGGCTTGACATTTAGAGGATTTTCTTTAAAAAGTTGTATTAAGTTGAGCTACTGCCATCAGCACAATTTGGCCTGCAAAAGCAATGCAAGCCAACTTATTTAAAAGTATGGTTTCATACATCTTTTTTTCTTTTCATTGTAGAAAGTAATTTCATGACACAGAGAGTGAGAAAAGTACAATGAAAACTGCCTACTACTTCAAGAAGGAGAAAGACTACTTTTACTCCTTGTATTAGGAAACATTTACAGGTATCAGAAAAAGGAACTTGTGGCTTCAAAACACTCTGGAGAAGTATAAAAGATGGTGGTAGTAGTGGCAAGCACTTAAAATAATCAAAGTTGATGCTTACTGATTTGCCAGAAGATGAGCATATTTACAAAAAGGACGTTATGGCTATCCCTGTATAGAATGCATGATTGAGTTAAGGAAGTGAAGAGCGTGGCCAGGTTTACCTCCAAACTTAGCCAAGTCCTCGCCCATCCATTTTAAATGTTTCAACACAGTAGAAAGGATGAGGCTCAGTAAATTTCCATTACATTTATAATCCAGGTGGATTTCAAAGATAGGTATAAACTACATTTAGGGATTAGTTCACTAGCCATTAAAGGGAAGTCATTGCTGCAGTGTTTATCACAGAGTCCCCATGTACAGTGGGGACAGTTTATATGCACAGTGCCAAGGTTAGTTAGGGAGGTGTGAAAAAAAAAGACTGTCAGGCAGCACAACCAGGATGATTTTCAGAGTGAAGATGAAATATATTTAGAAGTTCACTCCTTTTGGCAGCCTGATTTGATGTACAACAGTTAACCACTTGGTTGAATGTGCTTCTATATGTGTTGTCATAACAGTGGGGCTTTCCTTTGTGGAGGCCCACGTTATGCTGTGTTTCAGTGACCTCCTTTGTGCTACTGGGACAACAACTTGGGGAATTCCACTCATAGATACACTGCACTGTAGACTCTCAATTATAGTCAAGGAGACAGACATGAGAATATTTGTAGTACTCCTGCTTATAATTGCAATAAAATTGAAAGGAGTCTAAGTGTTCACTGACAAAAAAAGAGATGACATGGCGGTGGTGCAGCAGTCGCAGCCTATGAAAGCAGAGCTGCTGGTGTGGATGAAGACATGCTCACCTTGACTGACCTCCAGTCAGTCTTTGCAGAACTCTCTTCCCAGCATCTTGGGATGCTGTGATTCTCTTTACACCATGTAGAAAATTAACCCCACCTGATCCTAAATCACAATATAAAAACTAAAACTGTAAGACTTCTGGGAGAAAACAGAGGAGATTTCGCCTTCATCAAATAACAGAAAATATTTGAGAAATGTAACTGATATCAGATATGTAATCAGAACATAGAAAAGATACAGAAAAACCACTTGAAGAGAATAATATAATTAAGATGGCCAAACATCTGAGCAGACAGTTCACTAAAGGAGATACAAGTGAATAAATTGTCAATACCATTAGATGCTAGGGAAAATATGAATTAAAATTTCGATGAGATAGCACTATACAACTACTGGAAAGATGAAAATCTGATGATAATAAACACTGGCAAGAATGCAGAGCAAACACAACTCGCCTTCATTGCTAACAGAAATGCAAGATGGATTTATCACTTTGGAAAATAGTTTGTCAGTTTTATCATGTGATGTAGAAGCGCCATTCCTAAGTAAAACACAACGTTGGATTCACTTAAAACTCTGTGCACAGATGTGCATAGTGGCCATATTCATTACTGCCACAGCTGGATACAATCTGAATATTTACCACCTTAATAAAACACAAGCAAAATATAGACTACTCTATACCTGAGGATAGACTATCACCCAGAACTTAAAGAGGAATTCAGTACTGATAGATAAAACATAAATAATTCTCAAATGCACTTTATTAAGTAAAGAAGTCAGACTCAGAAAAACAGTACCATATAATTTGTTATAAACCTACTAGGACAGAAACTTAACATTTTGATTTTTAGTTTGGGATGGGGTGGGAGCTACAACAGAAAGGCATGGGGGACTTTTTCGGGGCAATGGAACTCTTCTGTAGTAAGTATGGTAGTGCTTTCAAAATTATGTTTGTCAAACTTTCAGAACTATACAGTAAAAGAGATAAATTTTATTGTATACACAACCTAGGTTCTAATAAGAACAGAGAAGAGGAGAAAAAGAGGTCGATACTTTTTTGTTTTGTTTTTTTAGGAATCTATGGTAACAGTGTTAAGATGGTGGTCGCTTGATAACTTGAATGGGTAGCTGGCAATAGAATGGGGAACAAGTGGGTAGATATAAAATATATTAGTGAAGTCACATCAGAAGGGTATGGTAATTGAAAAAGGATCTGATGTGGATGCTGAGCGTGAAGAAGTATCAAAGAAGTTTTTTTCTGCTCAATGAAAGAGCATCAAGTTCTGTTCCAGAACTTCCTATAAGTAAGGTTGTATAGAACTTTCTGGAGTGTTCTACCAATCCCTTGAATCTTTCCTAGGGACTCCTTTCCTGGAATGTTTCCTTTAGTTGGTTAACTTTTACTCATCTTTTAAGAGTCAAATCATAATCACCAGCTAAAATGTAAGCTTATCTTTTGCATTAATGTTTCACCTTGTAAATATTCTTATCATAGCACTTATTATACTATATTGCAATTGTCCATGCATTAATCTGCTTCTTTTATCATTAACATTTTAAGGAAATGGTGATTTTTTTTTCTACAGATTTTAACTTAGAAGGAATTAATTTTAAATATTATCATATAGCAAATTTTTCCAAACCAAGTAATAGATTATTATAATACAGTTAGCATATTTGTGAGGCCCATATGATTATACTGAAAGTAAAAATAGAATAGCATGTTACTAATTCAATGATATACCCAAGAAGAAGCAATGACCTATAATTATCCACTACGATGAAAGCCGGTATGGTTCAGAATAGCTTAGACTTGGGAGTGGAAGGGCTGGTTGCAAATTTGAGTTCTTTGGGCCACTGGTACAGTGCCTTGGTCATTTTCAGCATTTTCTAATGTGTACATTACACAGTGACATCATAATGATGAGGTTTTGAAGATTTGTATGAAATTTTGAAATGTATATGAAAATGATGAGATGAAATCAGGGAAGACTTGAATATGTTATATAGTAATATATGGAAGTTGGCTTTGAGAGCATTGATAAATTAGCTGATCGGCCTAATAAATACCTGACTTTAAGTCTCAGAGACTTAAAACAAAAGTCAGGCTTGGGCTTGCTTCTGTGGCTCCACAGGCTAATCCTTCACTTGCTAGTGTCAGCATCTCATATGGACACTGGTTTGTGTCCTGGCCACTCCAATTCCCATCCAGGTCCCTGTTTGTGGCCTGGGAAAGAAGCAAAGGATAGTTCAAGTCTTTGGGCCCCTGTACCCAAGGAGAGACACCTGGAAAAAGCTCCTGGCACCTGGATTCAAACTAGCTCAGCTGCAGGCACTGTGGCCATATGGGATTTAAAACACTGGATGGAAGATTTCTCTGTCTCTCCCTTTCCCTGTAAATCTGTCTTTCAAATAAAACATAAAATAAATCTTTGCAAAAAGGTTTGGTGTAATTTTTAAGCTTAAAATCTTAATCATTTCAAATGGGTTTTTGAAACATGTTCTAGAAACTTATTGTATATTGTTAAGAAAATGAGGACGAGTTTGAACAGTGTGACTTCAACCACACTGTGTGAAGGTGAGAACTTTTAGAATGTGCCTCAGGCCCTTCATTGACTTCTAGATCTGTGAGAATAATCCATGTTTATCAATATGCAATGATGATAGACTAAATATCCTCTACCAAAAGCAAAGGACATTCAACCACCTTAGCAAATTAGGACTTGGTACATTTCTTACCTTTCGGGTAGATATCTCTCAGAGGGACATCTCCAGGGGGCAAAATCCTGACCACCTGGTTAGCATCTGAAAGAGTCACACAGTTGCTCTGTTTGGGACTCCCGCTTTTCTTCTTTCCGCCATAGAATGCTGTGTCAATCACACCTGGTTTATGCAAAGATGATGGCCTCTTCCAAGAATAAACTTCACTAGGTGACTGGAAAACAGTAACAGAAAGATTTAAGGACTCAAGTGTCATATGCCTGCCTAACTACAACTTTTACACCACAGCCGTTTACTTTTAAGCAGATAGAAATGGTAAATTTAAACCTTGAACAAGTCTTAAAGAAAATCAAATTTTTTTTAACTCTTGAATTTTGTACCAGATCTTGCTTCTTCATCAATAACTTTTAGTCATGTGTGAAATATACAAGTTACATTTTTTATCTTTAACAAAAAAGAACACTTTTGCACCTACTATTTGATCTAAGAAGTAGAATGAAATTAACATTTTCGAAGCCTGAGAAATGTCTTGCCCATCACATCTCTCTGTATTCTTCAGATTTCACTCTCCTGGAGTTTTGTGTTATTTTTTTCCTTGCTTTATTTTACAGCCTTTAATGTTGCATCCTTTCCAAAGTCAAATTTGTTTTCCTGTGTTTTTCGGAAAGTTTTAAGCTAGCTCTGGCTTTCAGAATGAAGACTTTAACCTTTCTAGATTTTATTTATTTAAGTGATTTCTTTTTTTAGAAGATTTATTTAATTTATTTTATTTATTTGAAAAGCAGAGTTACAGAGAGGTAGAGAGAGTGATTGCTCATCTTCAGGTAGTCTCCCTAAGTGGCTGCAACAGCTGGGACTCACCAGGCCCAAGTCAGGAGCCAGGAGTGTCATTTGGGTTTCGGATGTGGGAGCAGGCACTCTGAAGTTGAGCTTTATTTTTCTGCTATCCCAGCCAGGTTGGCAGGGTGTAAAGTGGAGCAGCTGTGACTTTAACTGGCATCCATGTGGAAGGCTGATGTTGCAGGTGGTGGCTTAACTCATTATGCCACAGGGTAGGATCCCAGGAATTTATTTTTATGAATCATGTGATTCACCCATTCATTCTTTTCTGACACGGATAACTAATGATCCAAATATTATTAACATTTGTCACTAACCTGTCATGCTATCATAACACACAGTTTTGTGTACACATATATCTATCTCTGGGCATTGAATTATGTGTTACTGTGTATTTTTCCACACAATCTTAGTTACTGTACCTTTAAAACCAGTCTTCAAATTTAATAGGATGAGTACTTCAGCTTGTTTTTCTCTGTTAGGGATGAAATGGTTATTGTTTCGTGCGTCCATAAAACTGTATGAGTTGTATCTGCTTTGTATCCTTGTTGATACTGGTATTCCTTTTATTCTTAATTGTATTCATTGGGATAAACATGTAGTAGAACACCTCATTGTGACTTTCTCATTTCCCTAATGACCAGAATTACTGAACTTCTATTCATATGTTAATTTGTTACCCCTCATATCCTCTTCGCTGAAGTGTTTGTTCCAGTCTTGCCCAGTCTTTGCATTTATTCTTAACTTTATTTCTATAGTTACCTAAATTCATTGAAAATCATGAACTCAAAAAGATATATCCAATGGCAGTCCACTGACTTTATGGCTCATTCTGGTTTCCTTTTTTCAATAAATATGATTCTCTTCTCTAACAATCAGATATCTATTTTATATCCTTGATTTATTATTTTGGTAATAGAAACAAATATTTTTTTCCCCTAAGAAAAAAAAATCTCTTACATCTTCATGGAGCAAAATTCTATTCATTATGCAAACATGGGGAGTCTCCATTACTCTCACCTACATCCACAGCAGAAGAAAGAGCTATTCCTTACTGAAGGTCAGTGGTCCTCCTATTTGGCACAACTGGGGCCTGTGATGGTTTAGAAGGCCATAAACTGACATGACAAGATCTTATATATAGAGAAACCTCAAAGATTCTACAAAAAGCTGTCAGGACTAATAAATATGCAAAAATCAGTAGCTCTGTTACATCAACAGGGAATCCCAGGAAAAAGAAATCAAGAAAGCCAACTCATACCCACTAGCCATAACAAACAAAACATCTGGGCCCGGTGGTGTGGCCTAGTGGCTAAAGTCCTCGCCTTGAACGCGCTGGGATCCCATATGGGTGCCCGTTCTAATCTCTGCAGCCCCACTTCCCATCCAGCTCCCTGCTTGTGGCCTGGGAAAGCAGTCGAGGATGGCCCAAAGCCTTGAGACCCTGTACCCACATGGAGACCTGGAAGAAGTTCCTGGTTCCTGGCTTCGGATCGGCACAGCACCAGCCATTGCGCTTATTTAGGGAGTGAATCATCGGACGGAAGATCTTCCTTTCTCTCTGTCTCGCCTCCTCTCTGCATATCTGACTTTGTAATGAAAATAAAATAAATCTTTAAAAAACAAAACAAAACAAAACATCTGAGTAAATTTACAAAAGGGGTAAAAGATTTCTGCAATAAAAACTACAAAACATTAATGAAAGAAACTAAAGAAGACATAAAGCATCCTATATTCATGAATTGGAAAAACCAATATCTTTAAAATGTCCATGCTACCCAAACTAATTTACGGATTCAATGTATTCCTTATCAAAATATCAATACCATTTTTTTCATAGACTGTATGAGTTCCATAAAACTGTGTGACTGTATCTGTGTTAGAGACTACTAAAATTAGTTCTGAACTACAAAAGACACCAAACAAGCAAAGCAAACTTAAGCAAAAAAGAACTTAACTGGAGACATTATATTTCCTAACTTTAAAATTGATAATAGAGCAACAGTAATTAAAACAGCATGCTATTGGCAAAAATCAGGCAGACAAATGAAACAGAATAGAGAGTCTATTGACAGAGATGCTAAGAATACACATTGAGGAAGAACAATCTTTCGAACAGATGGTGCGGGAAAATTAGCTAAGCATATGAAGAAGAATGAAACTAGAATACCCATCTATTATTGTGTACAAAAATCCACTCAAGATGGGCTAAAGAACTAAATGTGGCAACTGAAGCTATGAAATTACTAGAATAAAACACAGAGGAAGTACTTCAGGAAATTGGATGGGCATGAATTTTTAAAATTAGATCTTAAAAAGAAAAGAAAAAAAAATCAATAAGCCATCCAGTTAAGAAACTTCTGCACAGCAAAGGAAACAAGCAGCAGAGCACAGGGTTAGTCTGAAGAACGAGAGAGTATATTTAAGAGCTATATATTTCATAAAGGGTTAATACCTACAACATATAAGAAATAAAAATGAGTCAGCAGCAAAAAATGTCACCAAATAGTGGGCAGTAGATCCAAACAAATTGTTAAAAAATACAGAAGTCTGACAGGTATATGGAAAAATCGCTCAGTGTTATTAATTATCAGAGTAAAGCAAGTCAAAATCACAAAGCGTATCACCTCACTCCAGTTACATTAGCCACTACCAAAAGCACACACACACACACACACACACACACACACGTAATGCTTTTGATATAGAAGAAAAGGGAATTCTTGCATACTGTTGGTGACAGTGAATATTACTACATTCATTGTAAAAAAATCAACATGGAATTTCCTAAATAAATAAATAATATTATGTGACCCAGCAACTATACTACTAGGTTTATGTGTATCCAAGGAAAAGGAAATCAGACTGTCCAAGAGACATCTGCACTCCAATGTTTATGGCTGTGCTCTTCACAGCTGCCAAAAAAAATGGAAACAACGTAAGTGTCCATCCACTGATGAACGGATAAAGAAAATGCAATACATATACACCATGCAATACCATTCAGCCATAAAAGGGATGAAATCTTATCATTTGTAACAACTTGGATGGAAGTAAAGGTCATTATATTAAGTGAAATAAGCCAGGCACAGAAAGATAAGTATTGTATGACCTCATTTATATAGTGGAATCTAAAAAAGCTGATCGCACAGAAGTTGAGAGTACAATGATGGTTAGCAGAGCTTGGGAGAGCAGGGGGTAGGGAGGGATGAGAAGTGGTTATTAATGCATACTAAGTTATAGTTGTATAGAAATAGGGAGTTCTGGGGTTCTACTGCACCATGTATGTATATAAGTAATACACATCTTCTTAACAGAAAATCAAGAAGAAAGGATTTTGAATATATTCATCATAAAGAAACAATATTTGAAGTGACAGGTAGATTTAAACTGCTTTGGTCATTACACAATGTATATATGTACTGAAACATCACATGGAACCTCATAAATATGTACACTTTAATGTACTTTTAAAGCCACATTAAAATGTGTTATTTCATTATCCTTAACATACTCCGTTATCCTTTTTCAAAAATTAGTTTTTATTTTAATTGCTTACATACTTGAGTGGCATGTATGTCCAAGTGGGTCTCTGATTAAGGTGAAGAGGGCTGAAGTATGGAGGAAGTTGGGTGGACAAATGTTTCAATTTTTTTCCTCCTGTGTGTGCAGTGAAGGAAGGGGAGGTGGCAACTCCTTGCTGTCAAACTATGTCAGCACCTGGGGACAGGAGACAGCACTTGATGATATCTTAAAGATCCCAATGTAGGGAACAGTGTTCTGAGGGTGTTATTTGAGTGGTTTGGTAGTTCTGAGATGTCAGCTGTTGCACCAGGGTTGAGAAAATCTTCCTAAGATCTATTGGCTGACCAAGTCTATCTTAGTGTTTCCACAGACGCAGGAACATATTGTAAGTTTGGCTAGGAGAGTGGTTCAACTTGTTCTGCTTTCTATCCTCTGACGAGGCACTCGTCAACCTCTGCTGACCTAGATGATCTGGCTGTTGTGTTCCCTGTGTGTATCTGGGCATACTGTCCACTGCACTGGCATCAGCAACTGAGGAGGCCCATTCCTGTCACATGTGCTTTGAGGCTGGACCATATATATTGTGATTCTCGTTGTGGTCGGGGTTTGAGTATAGCAGTCTAGTTGGGGAGTCCCCCAAGAAACCTTATTGGGGGTGACCTCAGACTTGACTCTCACAGGCACCAGCCAGTGCGGGGTCCAGTTTGTCCATCATCTACATCGGCCAAAGCACATACTGTGGATGCAGCTGCCTGGTTAGTTCTGCCCAACCCCACAATGGGTGTTGTGGTCTAATCCAACACAGGCTGCCATAGGTACAGTCCTCATGTATACCAGTGGGTGCCATGGCCAACTAAGGGTAATTCCTAATAATCCTCACTGGTCCTGCCCCCAGCCCCAGCCCCAGTGTTTGCATGTACTGGCATGTGTTGCAGCCTAGCCCATTTGGCTCTCATGTATACCCATGGGTACTACATATTAGCTTAGCCTGGTTTGTGTCCAGACCTGGCTCTCAGTGCTCACCTATAGGAGCTGAAGACCAGCAGGGAAGTGCCCACAATTCCCCTACCTGGCATGTTCCCAAACCTGGATATTGCATTATCAGGGTGTACTATTGTACAACCTGACATGACTTACTCCCAGTCCTGGCACTTGCCAGTGGATGCAGCAGTCTACCCTGGCCTGGTCCACCCAGACCCAGAGCTCATGTGAATGGGCAGATACTGTGGCCTAGGCCAACATATCCCCACTTATTTTGGCTCTCATAAGCAGCAGCAGGTGTTGAAGTCTATCTTAGTTTGGCCCATCCCCAAACCCAGCCCACACACTTGCTGACTGGTGCTGCAGCCTTGCCCAGCCTGGGCTGCCTGCAGCCCTGGCTCTTGCACTTACTAGTGGGAGCTATCGCTGACCAGAGGAATCCTCAAAGTTCCCCTCCCAGGCCAGTTTCCAGCCCCAATCTTGCATGTGTTGACGTGTGATTCGATCCAGCCTCACATGGCCCACCTTCAGTCTCAGCTCTCGCTGATAGCCTAGCCTAGCTAGGTGCAGCCCACATCTTGTCTTAGTTTGCGTGCGTTACTGTAGGTGCTACAGCCTGGCCCAGTTAGGCCTGCCCCCAGACCCCAGCTCACACAAGTGCTGATGAGTACTGCAGCCTTGCCTGACTTGCTTCCAGCCCTAGTTCTTGTGCTTCCCAGCAGGAACTATGTGTCCTAACCAGGGAGTTTCCCAAGTTCTACCAGCCCCACTCCTAGTCCTGCTAGGCATAGTTTGCCCCCAGGCCTGAACTTTCCATGTGCTGACAGGTACTGTGGCTTGGCGCAGCCTAGCCCCTCTTAGCCTAGGCTCCCACAAGTGCCAGGGCAATTTTGTGGTCCAGGTTGTTTCATTCGGTCATCACTTCTAGCTCTCCAGGCAAACTGGAGGGTGTTGTATTCCCACAGAGGCAAGCCCCCAAATCTCCTACAGAATCTACCCCCAGATTTGGTTCTCATGTGTTCTGGTGGGAGCTGCATCCTAGGCTACCTGACCCAGCCCCTGATCTGACATGGGTGGGTAATGTGGCCTAGCCCAGGGAGGCATGCCTCTGACCCTAGCATCAGCAGGTAGTGGGCAATGTAATTTAGTCCAGTTTAAGTCTCCCATGTGGGTGAGTTCCTTGGCTTGACCCAAACATGCCCCTCTAAATCACTTTACTTAGTTCCTTTGCCTGCCTGTGAGTGACATGGTTGGGTTCATGGAAGCCCCTGAAGTCATTCTTTCCCTGTCAAACGTGCCCTTAGCTGCTCCCAATCCAACATATCCCCTTTCCCTGGGCAATCTGCAACTCCCCCTGCCTGTGAGCTGAGGTGGCACGTCCTGGTCCAGTGTTCTCTGTCTCCTCCATATTTTTATTTATTTATGCTTCAAAGAACAGGATAGACAAGTACGCCAGCACACTGGTACTGCTAGCACAAAATTGGCATTTATCAGGTGCATAATGTCCATCAGCTACTGGCTTTTTTCCCCACCAGTGTAACATTTACTTAGATACAAGTCACTCTAGGCAGTTGCCTACCGCTAGGGTTCATTATTTTTAATGTATCAGCTTTCTTACACAAGTCCCTTATCCATGGTCCCTTTCTCATCTCCACCACAACCTAGTCTTCTTGGTGCAAGCCCTGCACACCCAGCTTGGGGTGCTGGGATGCCCACGCACCACACCGGGCTGCCCCTCATGGTGGGGAGCAATCTGTAGCTTGTCTGTACTTGTACTCATCACCCGTGGCTCCTCCTTCCCCATCATCGAGGTCCCGCATACTCTGCTTAAGCTATTCATACTCTGACATTTGGCACTGACTGTTTGCCCATTTTCAAAATTGGACTCCTTGCTTTCCTACTGCTGAGTTTTAAGGATGTTTATACATTCTGGAATCAAGCCCTTTATTGGATATGTGGTTGCAAATATTTCGTTCCAGTCTGAAGATTGTCCTCTCACTCTCCTAACAATGTCTTACAGAGTTTAGGTTTTAAAATTTGATAAAACAAAACTTACTTTCTTTTCCTTTTATGTTTTATGCTCTAAGACATCCAGGATAATATTTAATATAAGTGATGATAGTGAATATTATTGTCTCATTCATGACAATAGAAGAAATGGTTTTAATATTGTACTGCTGGAGATGCTATTTGTCATAGTTTTTTCATAACTATTTGTTACTAGGATAAGAAATTTATATAAACTTTTAATAATTCAGGTACTTTTCATAACTATAAAAATTAGCAAGTGGTGACACATCCTTTGTTGATGACTTAAACATTTTTTATATAAAGGGAATAAATCTCATGAAATGTAATGACACCTCTCACCTATCTCTTTTCTGGCCTCTACCTTTTCCCTCCTTTCTTATTTTTCTTTTGTTTTTAATAATGACATACTTTCAATCTACTTTATAATCATGAGCTTAACCCTTCACTAAACATAGAATCCAATGAGTAGAAAAAAACACAGTTCCTCATGAATAAAGACAAGGACTAAGAACAATAACTAAATCTCAAAAGTGTCAATTTGATATTTTTATGAAGAATCTAAATAAATTCACATAAAAGAAAAAGGCAGCATGACATGCTAAAAAGGACTCAAATTAGAGTTGGACATACTCAAACTCAAATCCCACCTGTTTATTGATAATCTGTGACCTGGGAGATGAAGATGGTTATTTCTGTTTCTTGATCTGTAAAACTCTGTTTAATCATAAAAACTAGCTTTCATAAAAGGGTGTAGAATTAACACAATATTCAACTACTGTACTGGGTCTAAGAAAGATGAATGTTTACCAAAAAGGTTCGAGGCTGCCTAGCTGATCACAGTGTTTCATTAAACATCAGCATGGAGTAATTCTTAGGTGTTGGTTCCATACTAAGTGCCAGCGATGTACATTTTAACTTAACAGGGTCACTAACTATACCAGCTCTAAAGGATTCCTATAAGGTTAGTGCATACAATGCCTTAAACTCATGTTTTGTTTTCTAACATGCTTATAACTGCATCTGCATTGTAGTTACTTCAGTCAGAAGAAAGTCATTAGAAGACCTATTTTTAAAATAGTTTCATCTTCAGATAAAAAGCTCCAATGCTCTTCTACTCATAGCAGCAAGCATCTCAAAAAGCGTATCAATTCTTTTATTCATTTGAGACTGCTGGAGACACTATGGTCCAAAAATCTGTTTCATTTTGAGTTACATAATCTGCTAACAAATGCTTTTTACTTGATAATCAGGAAGACATATGGCTAAGTCCTAAGCTACATATTATCCATGGGTTTTAAATTTCAAATGTCTTATATCCTGAAGTACTTACCATTCATTAATTATATTAAAAATTTGAGGCATGTGAGATTGGTGTATTATGAAAAGACCATATTTTTATCTTCAAATAACTATCAGCCTATCTAAAAGCTACAAAGGAAATTAGGAAAACTAAATGTTTAATCAAAACACATGGAGCTACAGCAGGGTTGTGAGATGGCCGTGTGGCCTGAAATCACCTTTACTTTTCATTTCCTCCAATTTGCATCAGGGAAGGATGGCGTGCAGTTTCACTTGGAGTTGATTACCAACAGCCTCCCCCTTACAGCAACAGAGAGCAGCAAGGAGATCACGGAGATCATTAAAGTCTAACCCAGGCGCTGCAAAGATGCAATGCATCAGAGCTAACCTCAACGGAAAGTGAACTGGTACAGCTTGGAAACATTCTAGAAGATGTGCTAATTTATTGGTCTCAAATTATTCCCTGTTATGTCGAACTCCCCATATGGAGAGTACCTGTTTCCCTTTACTAAATTATAATCATAGTATTATACTTCACATATTAATTGAAAAATAATGAGGTACATAGGTAGAAAGTAGTTTTTAAACAACCAATGTACAATACAGGCTTGATCTAAAATGTTTCACAGAAAAGCATTATTATTTTTTTGTTTTTAGGGAAGTGCCAACTTAAACAGCACTTAAAAAAATTTGATTTAGGGCCCGATGCAATAGCCCAGTGGCTAAATCCTTGCCTTGCATTCACCAGGATCCCATGTGGACCACATGGGTTCATATCCTAGCTGTTTCACTTCCCATCAGCTCCCTGCTTGAGATCTGGAAATCAGTGGAGGATGTTCCAAAGCCTTGGGACCCTGCATCCACATGGAAAACCAGGAAGAAGCTCCTGGCTCCAGGCTTCAGATCAGCTCAGCTCCGGCTGTTGTGGCCACTTGGGGAGTGAACCAGCAGATGGAAGATCTTTCTCTCTGTCCCTCTCTCTCTCTCTTTGTATTAACACAAAGCAACACAAAGACTGATATCTACTGGTTCCAAAATGGTTGCAAATGGGTGGCGCTGGGCCAGTTTGAAGCTAGGACCCAGGAATTTCCTTTAGTCTCCGATATGGGTGCAGGAGCCCAAGCACTTGGTCCATCCTCTGCTGCCTTTCCAGATACATCGGTAGGGAGCTGGATTGGAAGCTGAGCATCCAGGACTGGAACTTGTACCCATATGGGATGCTGGCGCCACAGGCAGTGGCTTTACTCACAATGCTACAGCATGACTTTGGTAGTAAATTTTAATAACCCCTCAAACAGGCTTACAGATTCCAGGTCAAATTAAGGGGAAGAAACGTTTACTCAATAATTAAAACAAAACCCTGATACTTACCATGAGATCTGGGAAGCCAACGACTATTGTAGCATAATTGTTCTCATCTGAAAGGATTCGGTTTGGAGAGGCAATCTTTTGTCCCAAAGCTGAACTTAGATTGTCAGAAGATAGTTGGTCACTGGAAATTTTATGAGGTATGGTAAATCCCATTTCTGCAGAGAGAGAAAATTTGACATGCTCCAAGAATTAATTTTTTTTTTTTGCAGAATTTTATTTTCAACAAGTCAGGAGCGAAAAGAACAAGGTGAAAGAGAAGGACAGAGGGGGATGGGGGCAGGCGGGAAGGGAGGGGGGAAAGGAGCGGCAAGGGGGAAAGAGAGCAAGAGAATGAATCAATAAAATTCATGGGGTTTGGTCTGAGAAACTGTTTTCCCAACCAAGACATCTTCTCAAAGTGATTCTAAGTATTTATGGAATTCAAAATTATAATATTAATAAATACACCATTATCTGCACCCTGTGGAACTGGCCCAACTCAGAACTCGTGATAGTATATTTTAGATTATTTTTTTCATAAGTACTATTCACCACCCACCCAAACACCAAAACTGTGATGAGATAAATATAAACTGATGGTCAGGAGCCTGACTTTGCAATAAAAATAAATAAATCTTAAAAAAAGAGTAAGCTTCTTCATGATGATCTGAATTGAGGCAGATTACTATTATAGGGTAGCAACTAAGTTTTTTCTTTTGGTATTAAACTGACACAGACCAATGATCTTGTTCTTCAGTGATTCTGGAGGACAGTGTATGTACGTGCGTGCATACAGCCATCAACACAGACAGCGAAGGACTTACCTTTTGTAACTCCAAACCCTGCACTAGGCAGCTCTTCTTTCAGTACATACAGTTGGCAAGCTCCACTGTTGGCAGATTCAATGTGCGCAGGCTTCGTTAACAGATATTTCCTGTAGACAAATAAAACACTCCACTTAACAGAGTTTTTCTTTAATAATGAGTTTTTGCTCCCAAAGTCTTTTGTTTAATAAAACCATATAATTTCAGCATTTCATCAGAAAGTAAGAAATCATTTTTCAACTGTTAATAAGCAGTGTCCATAACAGCACAGTTGTGAGAGACCCTATCAAAGTGCACATATCCTGTAGGAGGAGAAGCAGCTCTAAAGCTGAACATCCTTATTTTCATGATGCTGTTACTTGACAGGACTCCTACATCTGCCAGCAAGTAGATCATGGCTTCTGGTGTGTGATCAGACAAGTTCGTAACCACTGCAGTCCACTTGGTCAACTTAAGATTTCTAAAATACACATATATTAATAACCAGAAATCTTTTTTGCAATGAAGCACTTCTGCTTGCCAGTGTAGGGGCACAAACACTGGATCCAGTGCAGGGGCAGGAAGCTACTGGAAACTTAGTGAGGACTCGGACAGCCAGTGAGTACCACTCATGCAGAAGTGTACCGTCCTGGGTGTGGAGGCAGCCCACACCTACACAGAACGAGAAGCAACAGGGACACACAAGAACAGAAGAAGACAATTCCAAGGGCTTGATGCTATGAAGTTACAGAAAGGCAGAGGTTCTAGGAAGTGTACTGTGGCTCCTTGAAGAAAAGATAAGTTGAAAATCTACAGAGAAGCATGCACAGTTTCTGAGTGTGCTAACAGGAATATAGATTACTCTTAAAATCATTACTCTTACATGCTAATATGAAAATATCACACATTGAGAAACGACCTCTGTTTTTCTTGTAATTCTCTCCTACAGAGATGCTGCCGGACGTAGACATCTTGAAATGACAGATGTAAGGGATACAGACTGGATGTTGGGTAACTGATGAAGCAGCCTGTACTGCAGCATTCCCCACCACAAGCTAGGGATCCACTCACTGATCTGTGCCGCTCTCCACCAGAAGCCACTTGTCCTCTGCTACGAGGAAAACTGTCTGGAGGTTGATGGGAAGCGAGATAGTGTGAGTTCGCCCTTCTAGAACGTCAAGCACCATCAGGCTATTCCTGAAAGGAAATAGTAAGGATAATGTTTGAGTAATTATGGTGAAGTCACTTCAGAACACAGTTCTAAAAAGAAGGCTTTTAAGTATGCATTAACATATTAAAATGTTAAATGAGAAAACAGATAAAACAACTGTCAATGTGTAAAGGAAGAAATAACAAAAAGTGACAGTTTTAGTGTTACAACATTCTCTTGCACTTATTTCTCAATATTCTTCAGTGTGGGAAGAGCTAATTTTATATCATAACATCTCTAATTTGATTACATTAATATTATAACCAACATAGACCATTAAAACAAAAAACAGAATGGACAAAACAAGAACCCGTTTAAACCTGTGATGAAGAACTCACCCTTTTTCTTTGTAGAAAACTAGCCAATTCTTGTGTGCAAATTCTTTACACATTTTGTAAGTTTCCTAAAGACGGAACGAAATAGTCACATTAATTGATCAGGTGCAGCCATACCTTTAGCTGCCTCCCCTCAGATAAAGTTCTCAATGTGCAGAATATCCATCCCAACCCTCGTGCTGTCGTGAGTTAAACTCTAGGACAAATTTTTGGTGTTAAAATGTCTTTAGAATAAGTTTTTAAAGAAAACTCCAAATACTATTTAGAAATACTATATATATTATCCAGTGATTAACACTGGAATTCATATCATAACATCTTAACATAAATACATGGAAAATACTTTATTTTTTTTTTTTAGATTTAATGCACGTCAGACATTTAAAAATTCTGACTGCCTTTTAAAACTAAGGAATGCTGTTCTGCAGACCAAGTATAAGCTGCATATTTACAATTCATTTAATAAACCAAAGTTTTATTTATCTAGTTAGGGCACTTACTAGTTATAGTTTTATCCTATAAATCTTAAACTTCACTTTGCAACTAGTAAAGACTGAGAATCAGTTATGAATATCATAATTAAATAGCTCATAATGTTCTATTATTATTAGTTCATTCCTGGAAAATCTTCATGTTAATATGAATTAATACTTAAACATACATGTAATCTGTATATTTGTACCATGTCAAAACCTACAAATGTGTAAAGAGAGAATTCTCTGTGTGTTATAGTTAAAGAAAAAGGCACTGAAAGGGCTGGGGCAGGCATCCCTCTTTATGTGAGAAAGCTATGGGGGTTCCTAGGCAATTTGCTGGAAAATGTGATATTTCTTACGGCTTCCTGTTTGTTCCAATAGGAAGACTTCTTAGGTGTAATCTCTTCTGAAGGCAGGATGAGACGACGAAGGGTTCGGCCTGGAGTATCCAGCAATAGGACAACATTACTCTGGAAATAAAGGTAAGAGTGAAAAGCTTAATATTTGGTCTCTTTTTCTAGGTAGTTTGATTTCTTTTTTCCTCTTGGCAAGCTGAGAGTGGCAGTTATGATGATAAAGCAACGGCAAACAAGAATACTGAGCAACTCAACAGGTATTATGGAGATATCAAATAATGCTCTTTATTAAGGAGTGGAAAGTTCCAGGTGGTTTTATGAAAGTTGCTGTAATTATGGAAGGCAGAAGGTGTTCTCTTGAATATTTTATCTTAAAATCATTCCCTTGTAAATATAAGCTGCCTGAATCATGGGTTCTGTTTTTACCTCATAATAAAAAGGAAATTAAGGACTGACAATTTTTAAAGTTTGCTTACTTCTTTCAAGATTACACTTGGAGAATGCTCTGTAGAAGGCTCTCACATCATGTATAATTAAATTGTATTTATCCTTTTCATGAATCTAGCTTCAGTTCATCAACTAGGTACATTATGTGAAGATGTGTTAAGAAGAAAAGCATAAAGGATCTGAACATTTAGAGCTACTAAGACTGTTTCTTCAATTTGAAATTCACTAATCTTAAAGAACACTCATTAACTGGTGTTGTAATACTGTCCAAACAAGGGATTTCTTATTAACCACAGCTATGCAATGAGGTAATAATTTCAGAGTAATTAGTAGTGTTTTTTTTTTTTCAGGTAAAAGAAATAAGCCCTGGGCTTTGAAACACAGAAACAGAATCATATAAAATTAGTCATTAAAACTGAGAAAGCCAAAAAGATCAAATATCTCCAAGCAATATAAAAAAATTGACTTTTTCATATTAAAGCATAAAGACATTTGAAGATTGGATGAACAGGTTTGATAAAGGTACTGGCCAGCTCCTTAGCCTTATTGCTATGCAATTGTCCTTTCTGTTTTTTTCCTAAATTTGGGCATCCTCCATTTACCTAAACCCTCACATTTTTTAAAAATTTATTTAGTTTCATTGGAAAGGCAGACCTACGGAGAGAAGGAGATATAGAGAAAAAGATCTTCCATCCACCAGTGCACTCCCCAAGCAGCTGCGATGGCCAGAGCAGAGCTGAGCAGATCTGAAGCCAGGAGGCAGGAGCCTCTTCCAAGTCTCCCATGCAGGTGCAGGGTCCTAAGGCCTTGGGGCTGTGCTCAACTGCCTTCCCAGGCCACAGGCAGGGAGCCAGATGGGAAGTGAACCAGCCAGGATAAGAACCGGCACCCATAGGGGATCCCGGCATGTGCAAGGTGAGGACTTTAGCCACTAGGCTACTGTGTCGAGCCCAACCCTTACAAATTTTGCATTTCAACAAGTTGTCCCTTGGGGAAAATAAGGTCAAAAAACACCTAAAGTATTAACACACTTTGCAAAGTAAAAAACAATAAAATGTGAAATATTTTTTTCATTTAAAATTTTGTTTTATTTCCATAAATACAATGCAGATGATAGCAATGAATTAATTCATGGCCTTTGCCCTCTAATAGGTGATGTAGTTAGAGAAATGTAAAAACATTGATGAATCAGCTGCAAAGCCAGTACTTTATGCTGTGGTTTCAAGAGCTAATGTTACTAAAGTATTCAAGAATTAAAGTAGTATTTTTCAATGCAAGTTTTACTTCCCACTATGCACTCTGAATCTTGATTATTTAAAAAAACTTGACCAAGCAGATTGACAAAGCTGTGATTTCTCCACAAACATCATCTTTCCAACACATTATTCTGTATAATATGTATCTCTCCTTTATGAATGTGTATTCCTTAAAAGAATCACATCTTACCTAAGGAGCATTATCCATGGTTTTGGAAAAATTTTGAAAATGGTATTAATAGCTTAGAAGTTTCAGGAAAAAAAATCTAATGGACAAGTTAAAAATTTACAAAGTCTCTATTGTGCGCTAAATCTTTTTAAAGTACTTTTAAATAGTAAATAAACCTTTCTTATATGATAAAAATGTACTGCATTAACATGAATTGTTAGTACTTAAGCAATTAGGGTGCTACTAACTTTTAATGCAAAGTTCTAAAAATTGTATTTTATGATGTCTTCAACATTTACAAATGATTAAGCGGATGATTCAATAGATATGATTAAGAAGAAAAATAAGTTAGCATTTGTTTTTTCTTTTCAGGGTCTAAAAGTTTTATACGCGTAAGCAAACTGAAATTTCTACCTTGATGACAGAAAATATGTATACGTTTCCAGTTATTGCTGTATTTAGAATCTGTTTTATAAGCAATTGGCAGTGAAGCAGTGCTGTTGCTCCATCCCTTTAGATGTTAATGGTTTCCTTCTGTACATGACTAATGATATATTCTGTCTGTGTTCAAAAATAGAATTCTGCGTCACACATGAGTACGTGTAACTGTGGCTTTGGCGCTCCTTGAAGCGGGGCAGGGAAGAGAGGCAAGTTTATTATGTTTGTATTTGACTGGGAGAAAAGTAACCTCTGGATGACCTCAGTGTCCCAAAGTCTGAAATTCTAAACTGTGTGCAGATGTAATAAATAATCTCCTGGGGGTGGGGGAAGGGTGGCTCTTTATTTTTAGGCATGGCAAAGTTTCCCTTTCCTCACTTTAGATTTTATTTTAGCAAGGAATTTTTGAACAACTTCTTAAACTAACTGGGGAAACGTGTCTGCGGCAAAGCTTTATTTTAAAAAGGACAGGCAGGGTGTGGGTGAATTCATGGAAGTGCTCTTGAGGCTAATTCAACTTTATTTGCAGTGAGGGCAGGGGAGGAAGAAAGCACTGGTGGCAGACAGTGTTTATCCCACTCGAATTATTTAGCAGCTGTTGAATTTCCAAGCGCTGTTCCTAAGCAATTCAAGTCTGACTTCCTAGCAGCGCCATTATCACAAAAGGGGTACCTAAGATGCTCTCCTGGGAAAAGATGAAGCAGTTTGGAGGCTAGGTAGAGTGGACATATCCAGGAAAGCTGGAAACTCTACACAGCATGCCCATGAAGCCTTCGGGAAAATCTTTAAAACAGTGGCCAACGGGATAAGCCAAAACCAGGACATATGCCGGCTGTGGAAGACACGCAGAGCTGTGCACACAAAACCCCAATTTTCTTTGGTAAAAGTCATTGTCATACAACTGAGCATTCATAAGCATGGTTGCCAAATAATTAGATCTTTTGAGAAAATAAAATACTTGTCAAGACCACTCCTCCTCCCCCCCTCCCTATTTTAAATTCAAATTGCCCAAAGCTCCATTGAAGAATCTTAGTATGTAGAACTGACCCTGAACTTGACAATGAAATCTGGCAGGACTGCTGGAATAAACACTCCACATTTCTATTCTTCTCCATTGGCTTACTAAATGAAAAACAAGATAGCATGTGCTTTTCGTGGCTTTTTCTGATTATAAAATTCAATAATAATGGCACTGGTATTTTGTTGGAAATCTATAAAATAGAACTCATTCTAACTTTTGGGACACAAAATTTTGTAAGTAATATCTGGATATTTGTAAGCCTTGCATTTAAGAAGAAAGTAAAAGTGGAAAAAAAAAAAACCCCATGAAAACCAAAACACAAAAAACTTAAGTCTTTATGATTATTATTCAGGCAAGGCCTGAACTTGAAGGTGACTCATTTTCTCTGTGAACCCCTAAAATGTTACTTTCCTTTTGGCTAAGTACAGACTAAAAGCATTGTTTCTTGGTAATACATTTCTCTCTAAGTACTCAAAAAGTAATAGCATTGTACTTCTTTAGTATTTTCTAATATGGAAAATCTTTAATGTTCTTAGACTATCCTTTTGCCCATGTATCTGCAGTCAGGGAGAGCCTGGGTGGAATCTAGTCTGCGTGGGGTCTCACTTGCTTTCAATCTCGGTCCTGTCCCATATTTTCTATGAAGTTTACTTCAATTCTGAGTCTCAGTTTTCTCATATGTAAATACAGCCAACAGCAACCTCACTGGGCTGTTGACAGAACAATATGAGATGATGTATGCAATCTCACTGCTGTCACATTGTCATCACAATGTGTCACTTGCCTTCCAGAATATCCTTCTACTTTCCTAGTCACCCATTCTCAGTCCTTGTTGTTGATTCTCCATCTTGATTCTGTAATATTCTATTGCCCCAGGACTTAATCCTTGGAGTTTATTTTTCTTCCTTCACTCACTTCCTTGGGGCCCTCTTTCAGTTTACATAACATGTATATGCCACGGACTCCCAGATTTATATTTCATGTTCTGAACTGTCCAATGAACTCCAGTTTACCAGCTACTTGTTTGTTGAATGGGCAACACAATTTCAACCAAACATGGCTGCTACACTGATTCTTTCTCCGTCTCACCCTATGGCAACTTTAACTCAAGCTCTAAAATCTTAAGGTGCCCTTTACTCTCTCTTATTATATACATCTGACCTGTTAGGAAATCCTGTTGGTTCTGTTATCAAAAAGTCAGACTTGGTGATTATCCACAATCTCTATCCTCTTCCAAACCCAATGACCTCTTTTCTGGATCAGTGCAGAATCTGCGGAGGGAGGTCATTTCATCTAGCTGTTGGAGACTGTCCCAGAGCAACCAGAGACTTTATTTTAAAAATAAATGTCAGATTGTGCTCAAAACCTGCTAGTGCCTTCCACTGTCACTGATGGCTGATGACAAGAATCTCCAACGGTCTAAGAGGCATAACACGAGCTGCCTCCCACAGTCGTCTCTACCTTGTCAACCCTGCCATCCCACTAAATAACCTTATTACTTCGCCTCTCACTCTGCTGCTAAGTTCATTCTCCTCTGTCACACTTCTTTAGAAACGAAGCAGCGGTGCTAGCCTCTGGACTCTTTCGTTTACTACTCATTTTGTCTAGAATGCTTTTCCTCCAGGTATCTATTCTCCTCACTTTCATCAAGTCTTTAAACTTCCACTCTGCACTTAGTCCATCTTCTTTTACATTGCGATCTTAGTGTCTCTTTCAACTCTAAACTGTAATTTATTTATTTATTTTAAAATTTACTATCTCCTTGGAATAAAATGTAAGCTTTTGAAGACAAGAATTTTTTTGTTGTTGTTGTTCACAGTGATACCTCAGTAGTAGACACACTTGACATGTATTCATTGAGGCACATAACTAGTACAGTAGCTGTATAGCAAGTGAACAAAAATACTAGATTCTTTTCTACTGCTATAATACATACCACTGTCCCATTAATTGAAATACAGAGCTATATCTGTTTGCAATTATTTGTATCTTCACATTTCATTAGTGCAGTCTTAGTGCACTGATCCATGGAAGTGATGGAGTGTGAGCATCACTAGATACTGGCTGGTCCCAGTGTGCTGTATCCACGTGCATTAAGCTGCTCTGCATAAAGAATTCCATTCATTTGGTGTGTGTGTGTGGAGGGGGGGATCCCAGTCTATATGAAATTGTACCATAAAATTAAAATGTTCAAAATAAAAACTTAACTACAACAAAAAAGAATGCCATTCAGGTCTCTCTCAGCAATCTATTAAATAGTACATGGCCTCCCAACTCCTATGCCAACCCATCACTCCCTCAGATATTATATTGCTTCTATATAGCATTTATCACTAGTTGGAACTGACATGTACTCTTTTTGGTTTATTTATTTACTGTTTGTCTCTCAAAACAGAGTGTGAACTTGCTAACAGAATTATCTAGCCTCAAATGTCAAGGTTGAGAAATTCTGAACAACCTGTTTTCAGACCTCAGGTTGTGCCTGTCTCTACAAAAGGGACATTGTTGACTGTCTCTGAGGGCACGATAAAATATAATTCCTAAGTTGTCCCTTTCAGTTACAAGAATTTTTCTTCAAGGAACTTGCAATTTGGTGCAGCCAATTAACCTGCTGCCTGTGATGCCAAGATCCCCTATGGATGCTTGTGTGAGTCCTAGCTGCTCTTCTTCCAACTCAGCTACCTGCTAATCAGCCTGAGAAAGCAGCAGAATGTAGTCCAAGTTGGTGAGCATGTGCTAGACCAGTAGATGAAAGATCTCTCTCTATCTTCATGTCTCTCTGCCTTTCAAATAAAATATATAAATATTTAAGGAAAAAAAATTTCATGATAGCATAGGTTACAAATCATGTTTTTTCTTCTTCCTTCATATAAGTTCCTTTTAACACATGACTATGCTTAACACATGAGTAGGCTAATGTGTATTACCTGTTCCTCATGGAGAATCACCTGTCCCTTGAGGGGACTTCCTAGTGGTGCCACCGTCACAAACGGGTGCCAAACTCCACCTGCCAATCTCGGGAAGATGTCATAAAAGTCGACAAAGTAGCCACTTTTCCCAGTCATATTCATAAAGTATAAGGAAATAGGATTGCATGCAGCTATATAAAGAGTATTTTCCTCATTCTCTGAAATGACAAAAAAAGACGTTAATTTTAGAGTTTACAACTGATTTTCTAGTTCAGAAACTGATCACATTTGAAACTCAGCAGGTGATTTCTAAGCAGATTTATTAGCACAAAAAGCGAGTAAGAAATAATTTCATTCTTATCATACATGCGGATAGGGTCACACTAATCTATTCGAGGAAGTAAGAATCTATTTGCTCCCAAAAGAATGTTGTAACAGCTCATGATGGCCCTATTAAGTATTGAACAGTCCTCAAGATTAGAAAATTCTTTGTATGGTAGCAAGGTGGTTTGTGTCCCAATGGTGGCCATTTGTTCCACTACTGCTTCAAATGGACAACTAATCATCACCTATTTAATACTATCTAGTTCATCTTCTATCTAATAGTCTCGCATTTTCTAGTTCTTCAGGTTTTCTTGCTACAAATAAGTTAATCAATTTGTTAAAATATTAGTCCAATAGCTTTTAATATAGAAGCTTTTCTTCATATTTAAGTATGCTTTCCCACCAAAAAAAAAATCTGTTTTCAAACTTGGTACTTCCCTGGGTCTACTTTCTGAATTCTGTATAAAGTGTTTTTCGAATGTTCAGATCTCTCTGATTCACAGGGGGATCTAAATGAAAATGGAGATTCTGATTTGGTAGGCCTGGGGTTGGCTTTCAGAGTCTGTCCCAGGAGACCCACAATGCTGGTTTGAGGCCTTCCTTCTGAATAAGCTAGCCAGTTTTAAGTTTCTCACAACCTCTTATATGGTAACCTTGAGGAAAGGGATTAAGTTTGTTTTATACCAAAAACGCTACCAGCCTTGGCTCTCACCCAGGTATTTAACTCATAATAGTTATATTTTCTGATTTCCAAATAGGACACAAGATACAACAATCAGAAACTTTTCCATTTAGGACTACCCTGGAAAACTTGAATAATGTGTGTGTGTGAATGTGTATGCAATATCCACAATATTACACACATATACACATATTATACATGACATGCATGTAATACATTACATATGCACACCACACATGTATATAAATGTTTATTATGTATACACATTATACATGTGTGATATGTATACATATATACACACATACATATATACACACAATGTTGTATCTATATTGTATATGGAAACATTTCTAAAATATTACACATGAAATAGCAAATTTGAATCAATAAGCTAACATTGAAATATAGGCCAACAGAATGGCTTAAGAAGACACATGATCTAGAAAGTAACAGGAATACTGTGTGTGTGTGTGTGTGTTTACGTATTTAAATATCAGAATTGCAAACTGCTTTCACTATTAACATGAACAAGTTCACTTCAACCTTCGTTGAGTACATTCCTGCACAGTACACAAAATTGGGGAATATAGCAAAAATAGTGACAGAAACAAAATTGATAAATTTATAAGTTGTTCTCTCTTTTTTTTTTTTGAAGATTTACACTGCCGATCCAAAGCCAGGAGCCTCTTCCGGGTCTCCCACGCGGGTGCAGGGTCCCAAAGCCTTGGGCCGTCCTCGACTGCTTTCCCAGGCCACAGGCCGGAAGAGGGGCTGCCGGGATTAGAACCGGCGCCCATATGGGATCCCGGGTGTGCAAGGCGAGGACCTTAACCACTGCACCACTGCACCACTGTACTGGGCCCAGTTGTTCTCTCTTATTGCATGCAGTAAATGCCATCTGGTCCTTGGCCAAAACATACAGAGATACAATTAACTCTTTCTTTTTAAGAGTTATTCATTTTTATTGGAAAGGCAGAGTAGATTTATGGAACGGAAGAGAGACAGAGACAAAGATCTTCCATCTGCTGGTTCACTCCCCAGATAGCTACAATGGCCATAAGTGAGTTGATCCAAATCCAAGAGCCAGGAGCTTCTTCCAGGTATCCCACATGGGTGCAGGGTCCCAAGGCTTTGGGCCATCCTTTACTGCTTTCCCAGATCACAAGCAGGGAGCTGGATGGGAAGCGGAACAGCAGGGTAGGAACTAGCACCCATATGGGGAGGTGAGGATTTAGCCATTGAGCCATTATGCTGGGCGCACAATGAACTTTTTATAAGCAAAGAACATGTTCTTTTCTCTCACAAATGCACAACAGACAAAAAAACTAAATAAATACACCAACAAAAACCTCCTAGTTTGCAAACGAGAACAATACTAAAATAGTTCAATTCTATCATGGGGCATATGGAAGAGCACAGGAGGGACTGAGTAGGGCTGCCTGCTGTAGGGACAGTCAGAGATCACCCTACTTGTTTATGCTCTCTAGATAAAAAAACCAAGGTCCAAAGTTCAAACTTGGCCCTAAATTGCCATATTTTCTTTTCAGTACTGAATGTAAAATATGTTAATAAGAGCACCAACTTTTTAGCAAACAAACAACAAAACAAAAATACTTTTTAAAAGTACATTTTTAGCCAAACAGCTTATTTAGGGAATAAATAATATCCACAGACCATACAGGAACAAAAATAAGATACTGATCTTTGCCTTCACAATTCCTATCTTACTGAAGTTTGAGATTTCTCCCTTTCCCTAGCTACAACTTCTGTTTACATCACCATAGCAACTGACATGACTGAGAAGTTCTGCCCAAAGGTGCCCAGGCTCACCCCACGGGGGTAATGGCAACAGTCCAGAAACACAGATGCCCAAAATCCATGTCCTTTACAATGAGAAGCTTAATGACTGCAAACCACTCCAAGCCTGCTTTTGCGGTTCATGCAATCACTAAACTGGAATCCCAGCCAGAATTTTTCAATGTTTCTCCTTTTTATTTTTCCTTTCTATTTTTAGCACATGCCTGGGTGTGTTTAACTTTGTGCTACAATTGTAATGAGAAACAGATATATGCACACAACCTCAAATACATATGTGGATTCCACAATGGCATTTTCCTAGGTTGTTAGAGGAAATTAGCTCTAAATTACAAATAATTGGTATCCAACCCACAAATGACACTCACTGAGTCTATCATAGACGTTTTGATGTCTAGACATTACTTTAATCTTTTTCCTTAACAAAAATCAATGTAGAAAACATCAAAAAAGGAATCTTACGTACCATGTGTTGTAGCAATATCACAGATTATATTAACTTCCTCCAATGGCAACCTCCAGGAAGCACATTCTTCAGTGAAGCTTAGGGATCTTGCTTCCTGTCTTTCTAGTGGAAACTCCTGTATGTTTACAATTACTGGACCCTGTAATAAAACAGCTGAGTTCAGAAATTTACATAGTCTCCCAAATGTGGAAAAATTATAATTCTTTTAAAACATACTTTAATTGAAGCACATAATATCCTACTAGGCCTCTTCTCATTTTATGGGCTGCTATTATAGTTGTATCAATAATGCCAGTATATCCTTGCACTCACAAATGCTTTCAGATGTGTTATCTTATTTAATACTACTTTCTTTTCTGTTTTACTCATAAATATACACCTGATGTAGAACCCCAAAATGTTTCTCAGTTCTTCATTTCTTCTTAAGAGCCAGTTTTGTATACTATGTATTGGGGCTCAGAGCTGTCCAAACAGGGAGAATAATCTGTACATGAATGAACCAGGGTTTGGCAATATTTCCATTGGAAACAGTGCTTTTATAATGCTATCTAGAAATGTAATGATTGAATCATGCCTTTTAAAATAAAATGTAATAACAATATGACATCTGAAAAGTAAAAATTAAAAGAAAACTCGAGTCTACTGATAATTACCACTGTTACTTATGAAAGAGTATTTCATCCATGGTGATAATCATTCAATGCAAACAGTAAGCAGAGCAACCACTTTATTAATGTTATGGATATTAGTGCTGGGTACTTAGATACAAAGTCCTAGAAGAACTCTGCAGAGATGACTGAAATTTCAATGACTTGCATCCTCTGCAATCATAAATTGATCAAAAATATTTGGGATAAGGTATTAGCATTCTCCATTCATCCTGTACCTCAGGAATTGGAAGATTACAAATTATATTCTTTAGAGCGTAGAGAAAGAGTTTTGGGAGTGTTTAGGTACTGACAATTTAATGCTCCTGCATTAAGGAGAAGAGAGGCAGCTGGACATCTTCCTGCATGACACAGACAAGCAAGCCCTGACAAATAGAAGCAGCCGGAACCGCTGCTGTACTGCAGCAGGTGACAAGCCCACACGTTGATAAGTACAACCTACTGCCTACTTCAGTAAATAAAATGTGAGTGGAACACAGCCACACCCATTTGTTTGTGTATTGCCAGGACTGCTTCTTCAATCTGATGTTGTCTGGCCACAAAGCCTAAAATATTTACTATTTGCATGTTTACAGAAAGAAGTCTGCTGGCCTTGGTTTGCTGGACAGTCCCAGGAACAAGGATGGCAGCAGACAGAGAAACATTGATTGCAAAACCAGTGTTGGCCCCCTGATCCATTTCTGCCCTTTCAAACGCTTTTACAAGCACCTCATTTCTCATTATAAATAACTTTCTTCTTGAAATAACTGGAGTAATTTCTTCTGTAAGTAGTGACTGATAGTACTTTCCATTACCTTTTCTCATGAAGAAGATAGCATCTATCAGCAAAATGTAATGAAAAGGTGGCTGAACTTTTTCAAAAGCACACACATAGTTTTTAACTCCAATAGCAAACACAAAGTAAAGACAAATCGTACAGCAACATAATACACCTGACTGATTCTCTTGATACATAAAGTAAGAATTCTATTTGGACATTATGAATGACATGTAGTAAGGACGTTACAGGTCAGACTGATTTGAAGGTTGAGTACAAGCTAAATCAGCATCAGGTAAAGTGAGTTCTGAGAATGACTAAGAATGTTTCTCAGGAAATACATAAGGAAAAAACTGTAAGATTCAACAGCTTAAGAGAAAACCACAAAAAGATATCCACCTTTATGTCTATGAGTTGAGTTTCTGCTGGACACAAGAGTTTCTGCATTCCAGTTGTTGCCTGACCAACTGTCCAGTAGCCCACAAATGTCTGTTTTGGTAGAGGCAACCTGTCAAAGAGATGTAGACATTTTTCTGTTAATATGTCATAAGTAATTTATGATCAATCACACAAACACATCTGATGAATGGCTTAAATGGTGAGTTACACTTCATTTGATTCAGGGACAGTCCATAATGTTATGACTGAAGTAAATGTTAACATGAGAAACACCATGCTGTAGAAAATTAGGAGACAATTTATTTTTGATCATAGTTTAGTGAAAGATATAAATTTCATAGATATGAATATAATTAATGTTTACAGTTTCTTCCTTGAATTGGTAAAATATTTAGAAATATAACATATAAATTCTTGGTAGAGGGAAGGAAAGCTTTAAAATATTTGGGGCAATTCATTAAAAATTTCAGCCTCTTTTCCTTAAATTTAGCATTAAGTAATACCCCATAACAGTAATAATGCTAATACTCTCATGCTTGTAAGATGTATGGGACAAGTTTTACAAACTCTATTTCACTTGTAACTTTTTTCACTTAGGACTGAAGCACAGTAACACATATACAAATGTTCGCAGGAACATGTCACCTGGCTCTGAACACAGCTCTGCAACTTGTGCCTTTAGAAACAGCACCCCCAGTACCAGTCGAACACTTTTAGTTCTTGCCCTCATCAAGGGATTCTCTTATATGGCTTCTAATGGAAACATTCATTACTTTTGTTTTATTTTAAGCAGTTTTCAAGAGTAATTTAGCAGGGGTAATACAGTGATGCTAAAGTGCAAAATTACAGTCAAAATTTTGAAACCGAAGTCTTTACTGTTCACTCATGTTATCTTATTTGAATCTGCAAAGAAACGAACCACTGGTTTGTTTAATCACTTAGAAATTTCTTATTTCATTATAAGTAAAGAGAAAAATTATTGTAGTGTTAACATTTCTCTAAAAATAATGGTCCTACGGCAACAGACTGAAATACATGCTTGGAATGAGTTTGATGATTATCAAAACAGTATATACTTACATTTAAATATCATTTATTTTCAGTTAAGGAGAGCTTTGATGTGTTATTTCTAAGGTATTTTTTACATTAAAGAATGGGCCAGAACATTCTGGTGGAACATGCATTTCGTCCCTTTGAATTGCTAATGTTTCAGAGGAGCAAATAATTTAGAAAGAAATTTACATGGAAATTTTTGTTAGTCATATGACAAAAGTGTGCATGAACATACTTTTTTCTAAAAAAGATTTATTTATTTTTATTGGAAAGGCAGGTGTACAGAGAGGAGGAGAGACAGAGAGAAAGATCTTCCATTCAATGGTTCACTCCCCTAGTGACCGCAATGGCTGGAGCTGAGTCAATCTGAAGCCAGGAGCCAGGAGCTCTTCCGAGTCTCCCACGCAGGTGCAGGATCCCAAGGCTTTGGACCGTCCTTTACTGCTTTCCCAGGCCACAAACAGGAAGCTGGATAGGAAGCTGGGCCACCAGGATTAGAACTGGCAACCATATGGGATTCTGGTGTGTGCAAGGTGAGGACCTTAACCACTATGCTATCACGCCGGGCCCTGAACATATATTTGTAAACACCAAGTAATTATTCTGATTGGCAATCTGCTTATTTCCTTTTTACTGGAACGGTGTGCATAGGGGTGTGGTGGGACTGATTTAGAAGATTTCCTATTATTTTGTTCTTTCATTTGAATATAATAAAATTAGATTTTATTGATCTTCTATTGTAGATCAATAGAGTAGATCTTGCAAATATCTCATATCCCCTAGTTTGGGGAACAATTTGTATTGCTTAGTTGCTTTCAGTAGTTCCCCAGAATAGACTCAGGCCTCCTAATATAGAAGTAGAAACAAAGGCAGGAGACACTTATTTTCCCTCTGCATGGGAGACATAGTACAAGAGAAAGCAAGAGAGCTGGTCCTAAGTCCTGTCCCTTTATTAACTAACTATGCAGATTTAGGAAAGGAGAAGACAACAAATATTTCAGAGTATTAATCTCATTTGTGAAATGAAAGGAATGATCTTTAGGTTTTGTCAATTCGAGGCATCTGTTGTGATGGAAGAATTGAGTAGAGGCAGCTATCAGTATGTTTAACAACCTTGTATCTCTTTTCTCTGGAGAGAAAAATGAATAACGAGAATGAAATGATTTCTACCAAACAATAGAATAGGAGCCCTGATAAATGGACATGCTTTACTAAAACATGAAAAGAAGTTCTGACACATCCGAAAATGGCTCTTAAAGTTTCAGATCTTAAAATCTAATTACAGGTAGAGAGTTGCTTAATAAAAATGATGCTAGGTTAAAAAGTAGATCTAACACATCTGTTAACAATCCTACAAAAATAACTTCAGAATATATATATATATAAAACCTTCATTACTTAAGAAAAGGTAACTTTGCTCAATTTCCAGTTTTAACTGAAAATGCCAGGGATACTCATAAAATCTGCTTTGCATACACCAGCTCATTCTAAATAAGTTATGGACATTACAGGCTGCCTAACTCTAAATAAAAATAGCACATACTGGTTGGCAGAATATGGGAAAGATCTTCAGGTACTCCATATAGAATCTATTCTGGAATCATGTAATAGAAGTTATTGACAATGATAGTTGTAACCCAGTGGACATATTAAGAAACACAAGGCTGTCCTGGAATTGTCCAATCAAATGGACTCTGCTATGTTCCTTGGTAACAACACAAAATGTTGTTTCTAGATTTTTACTTGGATTCTACTCTAGCCAATTGAGGGAAACCAAAGCCTCTCATTTATTTTCCGCTACTAAGCTCTCTCAATCAGACGCATAAAAATTAGTAACTTTCTCCACTTCAGGAAACTAGTAGTCAGGGGAACAGAAAAACATTATATTCAGGTGTATTGACAAACTTTTGATTTTAAAACACAATCAACATTAATTTGTGGTTAACTAGAAATTAATAACCCTGACCAGACTTTTGTTGTTAAATACAACCTGACTGAAACAATAATGGCATTTTCCATGGTTTTAAGATCCTGTCACTTGTATTGTTTAACTTTTTTGAAGTCCTAGTTGGAATGGTGTCTGGATTTGATTTGAAGGGGAAAAAGGATGAACCGAAGGTCTAGAAATAGCACTACTTTTTATCTAAATGTCATTCATTATTTTATGTTTTTTAAAACAACTAAGTATTTCAATTCATATGTTGTGATGTTTCTTAATCCCTTGTGGAAGCAATAATAAAGATCTGGAAGTAAAAGCTTTAAGTCAAAGAAAGGTGAAGATCAAAACTATGATGGGCAAATTATAGTAGTTGAGCAAGTTACAGAAAAGAAACAGATTTTTTCCCTAAATACACATACATTTCATAACATAATACATATGGACACCAAAGTCAAGTAACATAGTCTGAATGACGTGCAAGAGATTAGTCTAAGATTGCTTCCATAAAGAGGTTAACTAGGGTTTTAAAGAATATATTCTGGCAAATTTCTGCCTCCTCTGAACATTTGCCAATACTATTTCTGGAGTATGAAAGAAAACACATGAAAAAGATTTGGATCTTTCTAGGGGCATTATGCAATTGGAAGTTGTTGACATACCTATTATCAACAATTCCTAAAACATTTCCTTACCACAAGAATTACTAATTTTCATGGGAATAATGGAATCCTTCAGGGTAGTTCCACTGCCTCAAAATTTCAATTGCTACCATTTTTGAAAAGAAAAAGAACAACTCCAATTTTAGAAGGCCTCACCTACTCCTCATGTTTCGAACCCAACCCCTGGCAAACATTAAGTCAGATTGCGTAGCTGAGTTCACTACAGCCTCTTATAGAATAGCCCAGGCAAATATGTCCAACTTCAACTCTTACCCCTTTCTTCTTACTCTCCAGGTCAACCTATACTGTAGCCTCTTCAAATTGCTATTTGTTTTTCCTGGACATGCTATGTATTCCATGCGTCCTCAAAGCTATCACTGCCTGCCCAGAACTCCCTGTTGCTATTATCTCTTGGGTGAAATCCTCCCTTATTTAAAAGTTCAATTCAAACACTACTTTCCTCTGGTATCTTTCCTTCTGGGCAGATCTATTTGCTCTATGGCATTTTCATGCAAACTTGCACACAGGAGACCCTAAATTTGATAGACTGTGATCTTCAAGTTTCAGACCTGACAAGGAATAAGATTTCAGGAGTATCAGTTCAGTAGTGAACCTGTGATATTTCTAACAAATGTTAGAAATATCAAATGTTTTTTGTATTTTCTATAAACTCAGTATCTTAAAGAGAGAATGTACAAGAGTCTTCTTACGTGCTTTAAGTTAGTAACAGTGATTAGCACCATTACGTCCTATTAAATCCTCCCTCATATGCTACAAACGTCAGAATTCTTATTTCCTGCACTCCCACATGTTGCTGGCAAATTAATTTTACTTTGTTGTAAATGACAAATGTGTGTGTGTGTGTGTGTGTGTGTGTGTGTGTGTGTGTGTTTTCCTTCATGTGCCTGGTTCTGCTTGTAGATATTATGGTTTTCACTTTGTAAGTTGTTCTTGTGCTCCTCTGCCACCTCCATCCTGCTGAGGTCACAGAAATGCAGAGTAATGTGGATGTGCAAGATGGAAAAGCTTTGGGAGAACCTTGCGTTCCTCGGCAGGCATTTCCCAATTACACCTCCCCGGTCCCCAGAATGATACTGTGCCCTCTCAGGGCTGTTGTCCAGCATCACTCTGCACCAGAATATATGCCGTCAGCTTGTTCCACACATTCGGGCTCTCTGTTTCCGCACACAAGTGGCCAGACTACAGTTCTAGGAACTGGGTTTCCTTTCCTTCATTTTTCTTCAAGTTTCATTGCAAGGAATGTCTCCTCCTTTTCTGCCATCTGCTTTATCCACCACATCTTAGTATTTTCGGATCTCATGTTCTTTTCTAATCATCCACAACAAGAACAACTGGAAGTGAAACTCTCCTAGTTGCTACAGAATTTCTCGGGGAAAAATTTCCTTCATTTCCCACGAGAAAGGCTCATAGGATGAATACCCTGTGAATGTAGCACTT